AAGGAAAATGATTCTCTATAGTGCTGCATATATTTATATGAGAACAAGGCTAGCCAGACATTGTTTCTAAGACGAATGGTCTGACTATAGCCTTATCACAAGAGAAGAGAGTATAACTAAGAGTTATAACTGAAGGTAACTTGGGCAGGTTGAGCATTGTTTCCAAGACGAATGACTCAGCCCTACGCTCACTAGCGAAGATTAAGTTCAGAAAGATATATATAACTTGGCTATTTAAACAGTTCAGGGCGACTAAGCATTGTTTCTAAGACGAATGACTTAGTCATACGCCCAAGGAAGAGAGAAGCAGTTGTCCAACCTGTTCGTGTATAACTAAGACAAAGAGTTGACATTGTTTCTAAGACGAATGACCAGACTCAATGCCCTATGTAAGCAGGGTATAAAGGGTTAAATCATTGAAGGACTATGAACTATTGTTTGCCTAAGGTGATTAGGGTTCGTGAGGGTGCTTACCTTTGTGGTTTGGCCTGCATGTGACTAAGTGAGGCTACTACTTGGTCTGAGTTTCAGTTTGACAGGTAGTTGCTTAAGAGGCTCGCCACGTGCTAGAGCAATAAGAGTTAGTTTCAACTCCTGCATTTTATGAGCTAAGTTTTTTTTTAATTAGATCAATTATCGTATTTTCTGGGATTTTTTATTTTACTTGGCTTTGTATAAAATTTGGTAAGCTACTTTCTTTACGGGAAGCGCTGCCGAAATTTCTGCAAATCCAAGAAGTTAGTCAACTTTTGACTTTTCAAAGTTCAGCTTGTCTAAAGTTCATATATGGCTTAGCAAAAATCTGGAAAGTCTCCTTTTCTAAAGGGAGTGCTGCCCAAATTTTTGTTAATTCGGGGAGTTAGGCAAAATTGGACTTTGGAAAGTCAAAGACTATTTTTGTTTTCATATACAGGCTGATATAAATTCTGAAAATATATTTTTCCTACGGGAAGCGCTACCGAAATTTTCTTAGTTTGAAGGAGATAGAATATATTTTGACAGGGTGATTCTGGCAGTCCACTCTGTATAGGGAAGATTATGTCGGGGTCTACCTTTGCTTTGGGCACGAGCTTAGAGGTATTTTCAGGCTTAGCTTATAGGAAGATTTTGAGTGAGAGTGTGCTATGGAGTTGTATTCTCCATACACTTATGATTTTAACTTGGGGATTGGTCTGTCTTGTGCTACAGGTCTTCTTGACTGTTTGATTCAGGATTTGGACTGGTTTCAGCTTGATCCTACAAGGGTCATCATCTGTTATCACTGATAACAGGTCGGTTGTCGATTCGTCAGTTTACGATTCAACTCCAATTCACCCCTGCCACTTAACCTAAAGGCTTTAACCTTGTGATTGAACTGTTTTGTTGTGTTTTTACCCGGACTTTATTAAATGGTCATCCAACAAAAGTACTGAGTATTTATTTAAGAGTTGCACGAGTGAGGCTTGTATGGCTAAAGCGAGGGGTATGAGTGCAATGAATGGTTGAAGTTGACCCTGTGTAGTGCATGGACTTCTGGATGAATCTTTGATGTGATTGCAGGTGCATTTGTGGTTCGGACTCTGGATGTGATTGCCTGCGATTATATACATATATGGTTGAGAGGAGCCCCACTGTGACTGTGAGAAGTGATCGTTTTATATAATTAACCGTCATATATTTACGAGTACCCTGAGTATTTGAGAGACCTTCTGTATTTGTGCATAAGGGTTAACCGGATTATGGTTTGAGAGAAAAGGAAGACCCTCTATTATCCTTTGCTTTTTGGAGTTTGTATGGTTGGACGTTGTAGTCCGTGGCAACCGTAAAAGTCAAACCCCTTGACTTCCGCCCAGGCCTGGAGTAGGACTCATCTCCAGGGCAGTAAGAAACGACTTCCACCACAAGTATGGAGCTGTGTACCACCTACTCTGCACAGAGTGCAGAAGAGGGTGTGTGGTCTTCAACCGCGCATGACGGTTGTCCAGCGTCAAGAGATTAACCCTCAAGGCGCGTGTCAGCTGACACTTGAGTATCGAATGCGACTCTCGAGATTAACGAGGACCGCGTGGTAATACCTCTATCGGACCCGTCCGCACGGTTTTATACTAAATCTCGCGCGCGATGCCTATTCGATTTCCGCATTGGAAAGTTATGGGATGACCACTGAAGGGGCTAGGAACGTTGCTGCGTTGTTTGTGTTGCGCTATTTCATGTGTGTGTGTGCGTGTTTTATTTTTGTGTTTGTAGAGTGGTGTGCGCGTGGTGTGTAGGATGCGTCCTAGTCGACCGACGACGAGGCGCGTTTGGGACCTCTGCCCCCCAAGATGTCGGTTCGCGTGCGGGTCCGATAGAGGTGTATTACCACGCGTACCCCCTATGCTACAGCGAACGAGAAACGCCCTCGGCTGGTCCACCTCTGCGATTGCAACTGATTAGCTTTCGTACTGTGGACTGGTAGCTCGGCGGGGATACGCCCACCAAAGGGAGGTGACAGCTCCCGTAAGGTGGAGGTAAGTTGTGCCTCGCGTAGGTCCTATCCTGTCGTAGGGGCTCGCGAGAGGTATGGCTGGCGCACTCAGCCGGAGCGGCCTAAGGAAGCTCCATTTGTGTGTCCGTGACGAGGTCGGTCCAACTCCTGTGTGACGCGGCCGAGAGGGTCCCAAGCTGCCACGTGCGGTGCCGGACCGATGCGCCCGACAACGTCCCCAATGCAAACAACATGGATTGAACCCCGTTGAGAGGTATTGTAAACCAGTTGTGCACGAGCCAGGTGGAGATCCCAATCCTGTTGATCTGGAGAGATGACATGTCGCAGCAACTGGAACAAGACTTGGTTCATCACTTCAGCCTGACCATTGGCTTCAGGATGACGGCCATAAGTCATGTCCAATCGTGAGTGTAGGTAGTCCTTGCAATAGGACTGTCACTCATTGTTGCAGAATCGTGGATCTCTATCGCTGACTATAAAAGTGGGCGGTCCATGGTGAGCGACCCACCTCTCTGAAAACGCTGCTCTCACAGCAGGGACCCTAGCTACTTCTGGCAAGGGGATGAACTCTGCGTACTTAGAGAACCTGTCCACAAAGACCATTACCTGACGTATGCCACGAGGGGTGGTCTTGCCTAGATCTGTGAAGTCTATGGACACAGATTCAGCAGGACCATCGAGTATGGGTAAGGGTTTGAGCAGTCCCAGAGGAGGTCTACACTGGACCTTGTTTCTCTGATAGAACTCACAGGTTTCAATATAGTGCAGCAGATCACTCCGCATCTCCTTCCAGAAGAAGCGCTGCGATAGGGTAGCATATGACTTTAAGAACCCAAAATGTCCGCGTGGATCATGACATTCTGACATCAGCAATATCCTGAAACGTTGGTCCTGGGGAATGCACAAGCGTTCCTCACCTCTGTTGTTAGTGTACTGCAAGTCTGAACTCAGGGCATAGCCTGGTTCAGAGTTGGGGTTTGCTTGCAAATTCCTTATTATGGGTCTATAAGTCGGGTCCTGAGGCAGTAAACGGGCAATGGTCTGGCGGGTCTCCTCTCCGAAGGAGTGAGCGGAGGAGATCAACGCAAAAGAATAAGGCCTACGAGAGAGGGCATCTGCTACTTTATTGTAGCAACCCTTCTTATGTTTCAGCTCAAAGTCAAACATGTCAATGAGCTGAATATAACGTGTCAATTTGTCGTTTAACTCTCCCTGGGACTTCATCCACTGTAAGGTGGAGTGATCAGATAAGATCTTGAAATGTCTGCCCAGGAGAAAGTGTTTCCAATGCTTTAGGGCACATACAAGAGCATATAGCTGTGGTGATTTCTGCTTGATAATAATCCTTGTGCTTTGTCTCGATTTGAACGCAGGTCGTCTGTAGTATCCTTGGTTTTGACGATATGTTGTCCTCTGTTGATACCTGGGTTTAGATCGTGAGTTCTCAGAATGTTTCTAAAGTTTGTTTGGTTCAACCGGACCACTTGGCAGTAGTATGTTACGTCGTGTTGTGTTGCGGATTCTGGACGTGATTCTGTAGGATTGTCGGGAATTTCGAGAGTGTTTACCGTAGATGTACCAAGTCGTTATTCGGTCCCAGTAAGTCTGTGTTGGCCGAAGGTTGTCTTTTCTCGCGCCTTAATGAGACTATTAGGAGGATAGGCTTTGGGATATACCAGGTATCGATCTTTTTTTTGGAACTTTGGCTGTTTCCTTCTAGACCTGTCTTTAGTCCCTTTTGGCGGCCTGGGTAAAGGTCTAGTACTGTCTTTTTGTCTTGAACTTGGTCACGATGTGATTGAAATTCGTTCTTTCTTGATGATTGTGGAATGCGACTTTTTCAGCGGTGGCGTGTGGTGAAGTGAGTAGTTCTTCGGTAGCTAGTTAGTATATAATTCTTTAGTAGGAGTAGCCATGTCACCGATTACGAAGGCCCCTGATGATCCTGTTTGGCTGCCAGGTGAAACCGGTAGGGTCATACGCAATGTTATGTGCTTTAAGTTCATTTTTATAAACAAGTCGTGTTCGGGACATGGTCGCTCTCTCTACTGGTTTTCTTCTTTTTTTTCTTCCTCCTGTTGACTTCTTCTCTTCTCTTGCTCTCACCTCTAAGCTAGATTTGTGTTGTTTTTTACTCTTGTTCACGCATCTGTCGTTGCAAGTGCTCGACATACTTTTTCACACGGAGGAACCGACGTAGGAATTACACTACTGTTGCATGACTTCGTACAAGATGGCTAACAATCAGAGTGGTGACAATCGTTCGTGTTATAACTGCGGTCAGTTTGGTCATATCTCTCGTTTCTGTCCTCTCCCTGATGGACGTCTCAACAATTAGAACTCTAACAATATCATTGCGTTAGTTACTACCCCTCTCCTCACCTTGCCTCCAAGTAACAATTCTAATGTTGGTACGGTGGCTCCTTCTTACAATGGACAGACTGGAGGCGGTGGATGGTTGGGGAAACGTGTCTATTCGCTGGAAGAGAAAGTTGCCAAGATCTATGAGAAACATGAAGCGGATGAAGCCAAGGAGCGCGCGACATGCGAGGAGGCTGAACGTAAGAAACGCGAAAAAAACGAGGAGGATAGGCGTTTACGTGAGAAGCAAGAACATGATGAGTTTCAGCGCCAGATGAAGCTGGAGCTGACAGAAAGCCTTGATAAGGTTTACAAGGCGATTGATGGTCGGAAGTCGAATGACGGTGATGATGTGGCCAAGCTTAAGACCACGGTCAATGATATGCAACGCAGATTGAATGGTGGAGTTGCGTCCACCAGTTCGGTGGCTCCTTCTGTGGAGGGTGAGGAGCTTGCTCGATTGGATCGCGAACAAGCTGAGATTAAGACAGCGACAGAGAAGAGGTTGTCTGCGTTAGAGGATGTTGTGCTGGCTTTGCAACGCAAGTGTGAGGAGGCAGAGGAGAATGTTGAGAAATGGAAGTCCGAGGCTCTTCGCCCCGGTAATAAGCGAGGTAGCATTGCTGTGGATCCAACTCCATCTTCGCATGCGCGCTTTCGGGTACGCACAACAGCTGGGGAAACGCCGAAGAGACATGTGGAGATTGATCTCAAAGGTATTGTGGAATGACACCAGATGGAGGTTGAAGCTCTGCAAACGTTGCAGATTAGTGAAATGAATGCTAGGAAGGAATCTGAAGAAGAGGTTGAGAGGCTCAAAGAGTCGTTGGCGAAGTTGGATATGGAGAAAAGGGCTCGGGTGCGTGGCACTAACCTGAAGTCGAAGTTTAATAATGCTGCTGTTAGGGAAAAGGATCCGGAGAACGATGTTGGACCCTCTGCCAGAAAATGCAAGGACAAGGTGGTTTCCGGATCTGCTTCCAAGTCAGTGGACAGGAAAGCGTTCCTTCGTGCGAACCGATGTGATCTTCGTGGGAAGAACAAGGAGTTGGTCATGGGAATTTGCGAAAAGAGGGGGTTACATATACAACTCTTGAGCCGACGAAGGAGGCTGTAGTCCAGGTGAGGGCAGCGAGGGCTTTCCTGTGGCGGGAGTCTGGAGAAAATTGTTTCTGCTGCTGCAGAACTCCCAAAACAGCCTAAGTCAGGGCCGCTGCAACATCTGTATCAACATCTGACTCAGTCCCAGCTGATGGTACATCAACTTGGGAGTCTGAATCATTGGCTGATCCACATCCGACATCAGTGAAGGCAACCTTTCCTTTCTGCCACCACGAGGGAAGACTCTTTTTCTTTTGTCAGAAGAAGGGGCGTGAACATGAAGTTTTGCCTCCATGTCCAGGGCTGCACGGCCAAAGGATCTCCAATCCTTGTGCCCGGCACTGTACAAAGCAACAACAAACTTCTCAGGCGCAACCCTGCAAAAGTTGGTCAACAGATCATCTGAAGGGTAGAGGTGAATTGCTCGAACTCTGCAAACAAGGACGACAATGTCCCGCTGTAGCGCTGCTGCCCCAGGCGAGCAATCCTATCAGCAGCTTTGCGGGCCCACTCCTTGTCTGCAAAGTGGTCCTCTTGGGCCTACAAAAGTCTGTCCACCCCCAACCCAAAAACCCAATCCTCCAGACGTTGCTCCAGACTGCTGGAGGTTGAGGTGACCCACTTCAGGGTGGGTCCCTCCAGCAGTCCCAGCACCGTTGCAACCTTGGTCTGTTCTACACATGTGAAGCCTCTCAAGTAGGCTTTGGTACCTGCAGCCCAGTCTCCCCTTTGAACTTATTGGGGGTTGGGATCTCAGGTCCCCTTTGATCACCTGCAGGGACAGATTCAAGCATTGGGCAGTCTGTGGCTTTGTGGGAGGAAGGTGGTGAAGGGGAAGAATGGCGTGAACCAGAGGGAGATGGGGAAGGAGAAAGAGAAGGTTTTATTTTGAGTGCAGGGGACTGAGGAGCAATCAGATTGGCTGCTGTCAGTTGAGCAGTTAGAGTCTGAACCGCATCCAATAACTTTGACTGCTGAGCCGCAAGGTCATCAACTTTGCGCTTCAGACGGCCCATGCGATCATCCCAGTTGGTGAAATAGGAACTGGTAGCTTTGTGTTCCAAAACGGCCCACTCCACCAAGTTCCTAGTCACCTCGGTGCAACGCTCATCTGATATAGTTTTGTTCAAGTGTTCCAACAGATACTCACTGCGTGAGGCATCTATTGCAGCCTCCATCTCGACTGTCTCCTACCTCTCAAGTTCTGCAAGCAGCGCCTGCTCCTGATGCAGTCTTTCCTGCAACTCCTTCTGCTGAGTAGCAGTCAGGGGTGTAGTAGACGGGGAGGCAGAAGTCTGTGGGACTTCTATCTTCACTTCTACTTCTCCCTGTGGTTGTTGCTGAGCACCCTGATTCACCATTTTCCACTCTCAGATTAACAGTAGTTAGTAGACAAACAGAGGAGCATGCAACGATATCCTATTTCCTTCAGACACTCAGAAATCACTGCTATCTCTCTCACATAGGTAGGTGGGTGAATGGGCAACAAACGATTGGGGTTGGAACCGTGTCTCTGGTGGTCAGCGGTCAGATAGACAGACAGTCCAGTAAAATTAGTCACACGATTCCTTTTTACTGACCCTGCACCTTAACTGGAGTTTGTACAAACAATTCCAGTGATTCCAGAGATATCCTAGAATTCTAAAGCCCACTAAAAAACAAGAGAAACAGTGGGAAAGAGAAAGAGTGGTATGTACAGACAATCCCAGACCAACAAGATGTAACGATGTAGTCACTAACCTTCAATCCTACAACAAACTCAAATTTCGCCATTGTTGACTCTGACAGTCATACCCAAGGTATGGCGATTTACAATATTCACTGTAATTACCCAAATACTGATTATCTGGTCAAGCGCTTCTGTACAGATGACAACAACAAAATTGTGATTCACTACAGACTGATAGAATTGAATTATGACGGGCAGAATTGTAGTTGCGACTAACCCTAGATAACCCTGGTTATAATTAGACTCAGAGCAAAATTACAATCCACAGTATCAATACCTTCCCAGTACAGAATTCACATTCTGAGCATACAGGATTCAGCGCAATACTGTCACGCAGTCCCAAAACAGATTTGAGACGAGAAGAGTCAGCAGAGGGGAAGATATGAGAAAGTGAAGATAGAGAGAAGATGGCTATGGCTGTCATGTAGTCTGACAAAACTAAATTTGGACTCTGGCAGACAGATAGACCATCAATTCTGACTATACTGACACTTAATACTTCGCTATACAGAGATCTGTGTGGAACGTACTCAGTTTCAGTGTAGTCTTCAGAAGATGATGAAGATTTGGCTATGGCAAACTGAAACCCTCATCTCGCCAGTTGCTTCCAGAAATTCCTCTTCTGATCATCCTCAAACTTATTGATCTTGCTCAGGATACTGAGGCGTTTCAATCCTACTTACTAGATCACTGAATCTAGTCCAGTGGCGATCTAACAATCAACTGGAGATTTCTCGTCACTAACCCAATTAGTCGTTGATGCCATTATTAGCCCCAGTTGGGGTAAACTCTGCATGAGATTGACTCTAGCAGTCAATGTAGCTCAACGCTCCTCAGGGATGGTATCGCCACCCAGTTATCCTCACTGTTCAGGGGTAATTCGCCACTCTAAGGCAAATCGCTCATCTGCACTCAGGGTTGACTTTGGCGAAGTAGCCCTGTACTCACCACTTCTGACAAGCCCTCTGGCAGGGATATTGCGCTTGGTCAATCCAAGCACTGTACACTTGAATTTGTCGTCTGCAAATCTTCTTCTCCACTGCTTCAGCCCTAAAGGAGATGAACCGCCATGGACTCCCTTCAGAAGATCTTCAAAAGAAGAAGATGCCCCTGTTGCGCTCAACCCTTAGTGTCCCTAATCCTACCCGGCTCCGATACCAACTGTTATGAACTTGGTTGTCTGACGATTTTCACCGCCACTCACACACAGACAATCTCATACACACCCATACATGCATAAGACGAGGGGGAGAGGAGACAAAGTCCAAACTGCACACAGATCAAAGTAAGCAACGAAACACAACCATGCACAGATGGGGAGATATACATAGTATTTCTCACTCTCTGATAATACTCCCAACAACCAATCACAAGAAGACACCTGCGAGGATAACAATAGGATTTACACTCATGATGAGCCAACTCGAACCAATTATCGTTACAGAGTTTGTTTCAGTATCTCGGCACCCTCAGAACTCCACACTCCACTCTCTACCCTACACCCAGTTAGTAGCGCAACACTGAAAAGGCCTCCCAAAGGCCAGCGCCAACCGCCCAGATGAGGAACAGGTCCCGGGATGAAGTCTCCAGTGCCGATGAACAACTCTGACGAGGAAACAGGCAGCTATGGCTGCCGCACCACTGACACAGCCCTAATATCTCCAGATGTGAGATGGGCGGGAGTGGTCCACCCACGAGTACCCAGTGAAGAGCCTCGGTCTAGCCCAGCCAGACGTAGATACCCCCAAGGGTAGATGAGCTGTGGATGCCCCAGCTATGGCAACCTCCAGAGGGTCTCAGGATGCCGCCTGTAGACAATCACCACCACCAACTTTCTTGGCTCACAACGGTGCATCGTGAAAATGAAAAGCCAGAAGTCCCTAAACTACAGGCTCAGTCCTATTAATAGACTAGCCTACTCTAGACCTAGACCTACTGGACCGGTACCGCATCAGTTTGGCCTGCTCGCCCTGGGCCCTACCCGGCTATACGGCGTCTAGACCGTCTCTACAGCCCAAGGCCCAGATGGGCCTGCTGTCCTAGTGATAGCCCGGGTCTTCTAAGGGCCGCAACAGCTAAGGGAACTCCGGGCCTGCAATTTTCGTGTAAATTGCAGATGTGTCCCTCACGAATTTCCCTCAGGACTGGACCGGCGGTTAGTCCCTGACACAAACAAAATTACGAATCTGACCCTAAGACACGACTATACAACCTCGCAGTCAGATCTCGGCAGCAGAAATCAGCAAGTCGTTGCACCATTGTACCATGACCTATGCAAATGCTCAGATAGCGATTGTGATTTGCTCCAATGCTTACCGGACTAACCCGAACGTCTTCGTGCAGACACTTAACTCCAATGTTAAGGACGATCTGGGCACAGGTGGGGTCCATGCATATGCAGTCATTCCCCATCTGTGCTTCATCCCGCAGACTCTATGGGCATCGAACTGCCCTTCCACTAAGGTGCGATATCCAGCCCTCCCGTATCCTAAGCATGATGCCTTCCTACCCCAGGCTCCCCAAGAATCCACAGTCCCGACTGATTCCCCCAACGAGAATTCCCACGGACCCCAACCTGAATGAAGCACCACCCACAGACATCGTGTCACTGAGATACCTGTGGGATGAGAAGCACCCAGTACCTACCCCATACTAGCACCCAGTGTGTACGTAGGATTATCCCCCCCGAGATGGGCCCTACCGTAGTCTAAGTCTGCTCCGTGTGGACTCTCATACGGGTGCCATAGTGATGGGAAACATGCTAGCTGTACCCAGGCTCGACCATGGCACCCCCACAGACTAGTTCGCAGCCAGGAGGATGCGCTTGTGTGGGTTCCATTTTCGTCGTTTCAGTCCTTTCTATTTTCGGTAAGGTCGTGCAGTACAACTTCGCTAGGAAGGGTTCGTTTGGGGTCTCCCACAGCGGAAAATAGGGTCCAGTCGCAGTCGTCCCTAAGACCGGTCGTAGGGCAGGCTATCTTGTCAAGGTCGTTGCAAATTAGTATAGGGCGCCGTCCATTGTTTCCCTTTTGAGGGATAGAGTTTTTTCCCGTTGCAAACTGGGGGCGGGCGATATGGTCCGGGTGGGCCATTTGGGTCTGGGGCGGCTTTTGTTTTTTTTCTCTTCTACTGCATCTTCCCAGAAATACAGTATGGAAGCATTCTGCTGTTTACTACGCCCAAGTAACGAAATCTAGAACGGACTGCCCTGCCTCTTTGGCAGGGCTTACTAAGAAAAGAAAAGAAGAAAAGAAAACGTATCGACTTTCGGAAAAGAAAAGAAGCAAAAACGCACTTACCTTTGCCCCCAGAGCTGTGCGTCATGTGGGTTAATTCTTTCTATTATTGATGACGCGCACCTGCGCTCGGAT